GCTCAAGGGTTTGCTCTAGATATCTACATGTATACTGTCTTGAATCGCTCAAGAACGTTCTATCTTATATGCAGCTCTTGAATCGCTCAAGGGTTTTCTCTAGATATCTACATGTATACTGTCTTGAATCGCTCAAGAACTTTCACTAGATATTTACTTTCGGCCTGTCTTGAATCGCTCAAGAGTTAATTGTCTGGCCTACTTAAAATATATTGCTGAGAATATATTTTTTGTTTTTCCTTGTGGCCTCTTTCTTTGCTTAGGAGGCTACCTCGTCAGTACATGTTTGTTTTTGTAGTATTGTATATAGTTAGCTTATTGTGTTGAGTGAGAAGCCCCTGATACGCCAAAGTATAAGTTTGTATTTTCTTTTATCTTGCTATCTGCCTCATTTAAATATCTCGAATTGTAATAAACAGGTAAACTGTTGTTTCATCGTTTTTGTTGTGTATAAATAGTAAACTGATGAATATTGTATGTTTATTATTGACAGAATACTGTGTTCTCTTGATATTAAAGTATTTCAAAGCAATCCAGGCATTAATTCAGGTGGTTTTTTTCAATGAGACACATGTGTCCATTTTTCTGTACTTCAGGAAACCGGCTACCTATTTCCCTACTGTGAAGTTTTTCAAGAGCGATAACTCTTACCTGCAATTACTATGTGTATATGGTTTTATTATAAAATGTCAATTTTTATATCGTGTATAGAGAATTAATTTTTTACAATTTCAGCATTTATTAAATTCATATACATTAATGCAATACTAATTTATGTCAGTATCATTTTTATTGACATTATTTTGTAAAAATATTGTGTATTTCATTTTTTTTTCAAAATTCACTCTTTTCTACTTAAATTTCCATTTAAAATCCTTAAAATTCTGACAACCTATATTTTTTTTTGTGGCAGAAAATTTTCTTTACTTTAAAGCAATATAACTACAAAATTTGAAGAAATTCTACTGAGAAATGGTGACACAATCCTATTACCTTAATGAATTATTTGATTTATGAAATCTTCTACAAGTACTTATCGTTTGAATTGCCTACTCAAGTTTGATTTTCAGTTAGATCTGAAATTCAATAAAGCCACTAGTGGCCATTTTAACAGTTGGTTTCTTTGCAATAACACCTAAAACAATGCTTTGGTTTTCATGAAACTTCCTGCACATACGAAACTGGTACATACACATGTAAGCCTGATGTGATCTTATAAGCTGATAGATTCTGGATAATATCTTTTGAAGAAATCATGAGATTCTCATGAAAATTGCCTGAAGTACTTGCTACCATAATTCTTTTCTCGAGTTAGATTTTCAGTGAAATTTTCATGCATATTCAATGAGGCTGATGAGATTGTGATGTGATTGGCTGATGGTTTCTAGGTGCTGTCTTTTGCAGGAACCATTGGATTGTAATGGAACTTTTTTCTTGGTGTTTACTTATTACCAAAGTCCTCGCTGAATGCCTGACCAAACTTGCAATCTAAATTTCAATATTACAACAGAAAGTGTATTTCTTTTAACAAGGAATGAAGCTACCTACATATTTATGTATAGTTATGTCCTTTTGTTGAAAAACATTATGTTCACAATATACCTCCTTAAGTACTGCACTGATTTCAATGGTACTTTATTTCCTGATGGATTTTGATAAGAATGTATCCAAAGGTTAGGTATGATAATACCTCAGACATTTTTGTGTTTCAGGGTTCAAAGGTCAAGGCCAGGGTCACTTATAGAGAGTCATGAAACGATTCAGTGTCCTCACTCTTGCCGCCTCATTTCTTAATAGAGATTTTGATTTCAGGTATGACAATTATATACCTTAGATGAGTTCATGGTTCAAAGGTCACTGCATGTTGTTATTCATAGAAACAAAGTCATTGAAACTATTTATAGAACGTTATCAATTACACTGAAACTAATTTCTCGGGGCAGAGTTCTAGTTTCCTTAGGTTAGGGACTTGTCATGTACTTATAACTCACAATACTTTGCCTTGTATTATAATGAAGAGTCATTATGGTGGCATTGGGCCTACCATACGTGGTAAACATACAGTAACATACAAATATTAAAAACCCACAGGGAACCTAATAACAAATCGTGATATTGGCTTGTCCTCTCTATTGCTATGTAACTTCTGTTGTTGAATCATTACTTACTGACTCAATTTCAGTTCTTATTTCCATTATTGAATGATGGCTTGTATGATGTCTGTATTTTGAGTTACTGCTATTATTGAATCACCGCTTGGTATGTGTTTTCTATATATTTCTCATCATTAAATCACATTTTCTTTAATTACATACATGGCGATAAATGAACCCATTGTAACCTCAGACTTGAGCATTTAATAATGAATAACTCACTTCGTGAACTCTCAGTATAACTACACAGGTTGAGATTATATTTAAGTTTCTCTTTATGCATTGGACTTGCTGTGATCTGTCGTACAAATAAAACTTAACGGCTTATGAAAGCATATAATCACCCACATGGTTTGACGTAAGCAAAGGTATTTTTGGCAGAGGGCTTTCAAATGCGGACTGGATTTCACATGTATGGTCACCTAGACACTTCACCTTTTAAAACAACAATGCTATAAACATTAAATACTTATTCTCTTTCACCCAAATTGGAATTTTTTCGCGGATTGAATGGGCAGAGTGTTGGACAGATCCCCGGGACATTTAAATATTAACTGTCTGTGAGTGTGGCTCCGTCCCAACGTGGCTCAGTGTTAGTTGTGCTGTATGATCAAACACTCGAGGAGACATTGAATGCTCAAAGAAAGGATTAAACAGCAGGCCAGGATCGTTGTGGAGTTCTATGTTTTGCTGTGTACTTTAAATACTTCACAACAGTATATGCGTTTAAATGTTATGGACATTTTGTGATGGTGTTTTATTCGTGGGAAAAAAATAATTCGTTTGCGATTTAATATTGTTGGTCGTGTAGAGGTAAGTTTTAGTATTTGTTAATTGTTCCGTATCCGTTTGATAGAGATGTTTATATATGTATCTATTATATAGATAACGCCCATCAGTCTATAGGTACTGTCTAGAGTAAGCAATTTGATGGGAGGGAGCGTCTCCATGCAGTACGTGGTGCCCTACACCTATAAAATCCAGGTTAAGACATCCGTAGATATTGTAATATCAGGGACCACAGTGACAGACCAGTGTTAATGTTACTGACACTCTGACATTCAGGACTGTTCACGCCTCACTAGACACAAATCAGTGAGCTTTCTGTTTATGGCCACAGCACTACATATAACGGCCATTTTCGTCAACACCAAAGAATCTGCACCGCAAGTTACTGCAATTATATAAAGCAGATTATATTTTCTATATAATGCTTGCCATATTATCACAAATTGTGTCATGAATATTCATATATTGACATTAATGTGTGGTATATTGCCCTGGGACCCGTAGAGATGGGAGTCACAATGATTCCCCTGACAGCTTAGACAAATGACAAACATTGGAATTTTTGCATAGATTTTTACAAGATCATGGCACATTAATTGCTGATACAAGATAATGTCACATCAATTATCTGATACAAGATCATGTCACATTTATAATTATCTGATACCTGATCATGTCACATCAATTATCTGATACATGATCATGTCACATCAATTATCTGATACAAGATAATGTCACATTTATTATCTGATACAAGATCATGTCACATAAATTATCTGATACATGATCATGTCACATTAATTATCTGATACATGATAATGTCACATCAATTATCTGATACAAGATCATGGCACATTAATTATCTGATACAAGATCATGTCACATCAATTATCTAATACAAGATCATGTCACATTAATTATCTGATACAAGATAATGTCACATTTATTATCTGAGACATGATCATGTATCATATAATAAATGTGACATTATCTTGGCTCAGAGAATTGATGTGACATGATGTTGTATCAGATAATTAAGGTGACATGATCATGTCACATGTATTATCTGATACATACCTGATCATGTCACATAAATTATCTGATACAACATCATGTCACATCAATTATCTGGTACAAGATCATGGCACACTAATTATCTGATACATGAGCATGTCACATTTATTACCTGATACATGATAATATCACATCAATTATCTGATACTAGCTAATGTCACATTATTTATCTGATCCAAGATCATGTCACATTAACTATCTGATACATGATCACGTCACATTTATTATCTAATACATGATCATGTCTCAGATAATAAATGTAACATGACCATGTATCAGATAATTAAGGTGACATGATCATGTGTCAGATAATAAATGTAACATGATCATGTATCAAATAATAAATGTGCCATGATCATGTATCAGGTAATAAATGTGACATGATATTGTATCAGATAATTGGTGTGACATGATCTTGGATCAGATAAATAATGTGACATTATCTTGTATTAGATAATTGATGTGATATTATCATGTATCAGATAAAAAATGTGACATGATCGTGTATCAGATAATTGGTGTGACATGATCTTGGATCAGATAATTGAGGGGACGAGATCTTGTATCAGATTATTGATGTGACATAATCATGTATCAGATAATCAATGTGAAATGATCATGTATCAGCTAATAAATGTGACATGCTCATGTATCAGATAAAAAATGTGACATGATCTTGTGTCAGATAATTGATGTGATATTATCATGTATCAGGTAATAAATGTGACATGGTTTTGTATCAGATAATCGATGTGACATGATCTCGTATCAGACTATTGATGTGACATGATCGTGTATCAGATAATTAATTTGACAGGATCTTGTATCAGATTATTGATGGAACATGATCATGTATCTGATAATAAATGTGACAGTATCTTGTATCAGATCACTGATGTGACATTATCATGTATTAGATAATTAATGTGACATGATCTTGAATCAGATATTTAATGTGCTATAATCTTGTATCAGATGATAAATGTGACATGATCGTGTATCAGATAATTAATCTGCCATGATCATGTATCATATAATAAATGTGACACGATCTTGTATCAGATCACTGATGTGACATTATCATGTATCAAGATAATTGATGTGAAATGATCATGTATCAGGTAATAAATGTGACATGCTCATGTATCAGATAATCTATGTGACATGATCTTGTCTCAGATAATTAATGTGCCCTGATCTTGTATCAGACAACTAATGTGCCATAATCTTGTTTCAGATAATAAATGTAACATGATCATGTATCTGATAATAAATGTGACACGATCTTGTATCAGATAAACAATGTGACATTATCTGATACAAGCTCATGTCACATCAATTCTCTGATACAAAATTATGGCACATTAATTAACTGATACAAGATCATGTCCCATCAATTATCTGATGCAAGATAATGTCACCTTTATTATCTGATACCAGATTATGGCACATTTATTATTTGATACATGATCATGTCTCAGATAATAAATGTGCCATAATCTTGTTTCAGATAATAAATGTGAAATTATCTTGTATCAGCAATTAATGTGCCATGATCATGTATCAAATAATAAATGTGCCATGATCATGTATCATATAATAAATGTGACATGACTTTGTATCAGATAATCGATGTGACATGATCTTGTGTCAGATAAATAATGTGACATTAGCTAGTATCAGATAATTGATGCGACATGATCATGTATTAGATAATAAATGTGACATGCTCATGTATCAGATAAACAATGTGACATTATCTTTTATCAGATAATTAATCTGCCATGATCATGTATCATATAATAAATGTGACACGATCTTGTATCAGATGATAAATGTGACATTATCTGATACAAGATAATGTCACATTTATCATCTGATACAAGATTATGGCACATTAATTATCTGATACAAGATCATGTCACATCAATTATCTGATACAAGATCATGTCACATTTATTATCTGATACATGATCATGTCACATCAATTATCTGATACAAGATCATGTCACATCAATTATCTGATACAAGATCATGTCACATTAATTATCTGATACAAGATCATGTCTTGAAAAGATGCATTGGTTTATTGTGAAAAATATTTACAATTGAAATTTAATCTGCTTAGATTTTAAAATTTAGTAATGGGAGATCTGTATTTTCTGAATTTCAAAACTTTCTTCTGATAACTTGAACTGATAGTTTATTGTTTGCTAGGCACTCGATGTTCTTTAGAAATTTAGCTTGGATATTATTTTTCAAACAAGAAAATATTGCCATTTATTCATGACTCCCTTTTTTTCAATTTTTGACCAAAATTTACCAATCACCCTCGAAACTCCCTCATTCAAGTCAAAACTCAAACGCAAACTCAAAATCTACATCCTGTGGTCAAGTGATCTCCTAGTTACTGCAGGGTGTGTGCAATGTTTATAACGAGTGTGTATGAAGCAAATGAATGCTTTTTGGGAGTTATTTTGATACATAAAAAGGGAAAGATAAATTGAGCAAAGTAACCGTAGCGTTTTCACACACTTTTCCCCTCATTGGAGGTTTAATGGTAGACACCTATGATTTATACAAGCTGATCATGGTAGGAATAGGAACACCAAAGTTAGTAGTCGGGTAGATATTGTTTCAATGACATTTTGATTAGAGAAGCAGCTCAAATATTGGTTTGACAACCTCCTGGGATGTTGGTACATAATATATGGTTACCTTGGTAAAATTGTGAAAGTTACTTACAAATGCGACCGAGGAAAACAGGGACTGACAGCTGAGTTACAGTTTTAATAAATCTTTCGTTACAGCAAAATTGTTATGACATCACAGCAGCAGTTTCTGAGGACTCAAAAATCTACAAGCCCACACCAAAATCTGTGATGGTTCGAGGTTTGCATTAAATGGACATGTACTCTTTCAACATAAAGGAATATATTTTTTTTTTGCCGTCGGATGTGCATTTATCTCAGCAGAAATTGAAGTAAATTAATTTTTCGACAATTTTTTTTTTTTTTTTTTTTGATGATTTATGAAAAAACCCACACGATATGTAATTACATGATTGGTATAATCTATAGTGCTCTAAAGTTCAAACACTAATTAGAAAGATGTGTTTAATATTTCATGGTCATAACTAGGTTCCGACGGTGCAGAGAGTGTGCTATAAAGGACGCTGTGAAACGTCGTCCTTTTATGGGCGGTGATTGGTTGTTGATTACATGTCAGAAATGGAGCTAAATCAATACAGATATGTTAACTAATTACATTGGAGATGTTTAGCATAGATAACAAGTAGTAACAAGGGATGACCCGATTTACTGGACAAACTCCTAATGGAAACAATATAAGTGTCGCCCATTTATGGTAGGTTTATCATCCGAGTCGTCATTAGTGGGAATCTCAATTAGCGTATCCTGGTTGGGGTAGAAACCTATTGCAATCTCATGAAGGCGAATTTGTCTCTGGTCGTCCAATCCTCTCTAAAGGTCATCCAAGGTCAACCATATGTCTTATAGATTATTACATCTGTATGATGTAAAGCAGTTAATGGCAGAATTTAGAGTCATACTTGCATCGCATTGTATTTCAGTCTCAACAGTTTACATAGAAATATAATTTGGAGAGAGAAATTCATCATCAGTCATGTTCATTATTCTATGTCTTCAATAGTGTGAGGGGCCGCGGTGGCCGAGTGGTAAGCTGCTACCACTAGCCCTCCACCACTGGGTCACAGGTTCGAGACTTATGTGGGGCAGTTGCCAGGTACTGGCTGCAGGTCTGTGGTTTTTCTCCGGGTACTGCAGCTTTCCTTCACCACCAAAACCTGGCACGTCCTTAAATGACCATAGCTGTTATAGGATGAACAACCCAAACAAATCATACAAACAAAATCATTTGTGTGAACCCCATGTTCCATTTGATTTTAAAGGTAGTATAAATGACACCAA